TATCACACTTCGTTTACATTAAATACAATAACAATACTCGGACGAAGCATACAACAACGATTACTACGAGAACTACTGGTGCTTTCACATTTCGAACGATGAGCGTTGAAACGATGTTGACAATCGCTTAAGTTGAAGCGGGCACAACATCTCATGCACATTTTCGTACAATTTAATTGTATACGGTATACCATTTTTTGCAATAGCATCAGGTACTTTTGTGTCCGTAATTCCCGAGTCAACGAAATGTAAAAGATAACGCTCCAAAGATTATAACACTATCAAAATGAATGGATGACACAAAAATTTATCGTTACACGTAAATGATCTCGTTGTTATTGGTCTTGGGTTAGAAATGTTGATTACACTTGAATGAATAGTTTTATTAGGTTGATCTAATTTCGACATCGATTTTCCGACAACAACCGATGCTCATGATGTTTCTCGTACCATTTGATGGTTTGCCATGGAATTTTGTCGCACTTGAACTCTCGTAAATGGATTTCAATGTAAGCGAAATCTTGTATTCGATTCGAACTGGAAAAATGCCGATAAAATAAGTCAAGTTCAAGTATTTTTGTTTCTATTTCGTTTCGCCTTCGAAATAAAACTCAGTTGAATGACCACATAATCTGCGACACAATTAGCAATTAGTTGCTATTTCAAGGCACAAGTGATAACTGACCCACAGTGTTACATAATTTTGGCCAACACTCCAAAAGCTGTTATAATATTATTACCACTCGGTTGAGCGAAATACGCACAAAAAAGAAAATGAAATATATTTCATGAAATTCTATTTTCAAAAGAGAGATATATGAAATTTTAAACCAGAAAATTAATATTTACCGCACCATAAATTTTATTAAATTTGACCAAAAACGAGCAAAATCTGAAATGACCAGAGGTTTCCTGTGTGTCGGCTGCTCTTTTTTTTGTCATCATGCCACTTATATGCGGGAGAGACTCATACAGTTTCCTGTGTTTCAAAGCGGTGAAATGGAAAATATCTCACACTCATTCCAAAAATAGATGGGCAATGTGTTATTTCGCCTCTCTTAATTTAAATGGCAAAATGAAACGATTAAGCGATACATGAACACAAGTGAAATTGGTGTTTTCGGAGAAGTGCAGATTCAACGGCAATATTTTGGCATACGGAAGCCACTGTCATCGTATATTATATTTAATTTCTCTATCTCTTTCTCGCTCTCTCCCGGTTGTTGTGAAAATGCATGTAGGAAATACGTTTGGTGATTGCGTGCATGTCCTATGGACAACAAAAATATATATACAATTTCAGTTCCGGAGATTTTCTCCATCGACGAAAATTTTCTTCTGCAGCAATAATTGCGTTGTATCTTTTTCGAAAACGATGCAGGTAAACTAAAACTGATTATCATTGCATGTTTCATTAAATACCAAACGACACACAACGACCGTCACATATCCGTTCTCTCGCCTAATGAGCATTTGAACTGACCGAATGTTGTACGAAAACAACACACATTCACATTTGATTCAACCTAAACGATTTACGATGAAATTTTAATTTTCCACAGCACCAACACCGGTCATTACTGATGATAATTTAATATTCTCTCTCGATGGATACTCATCGTTTACATAAATTTTAACCTTTTAGTTTCGTATTCTCGATGATTCTTACATAATGTCCAAGGAGAAAACTTGAAACTAATTTATGTGTTGGGTTCATTCGTTTTCAACTCTCTCTCATTTTTTTTTCGATGCCGTAAAAATAGAACTTGGGGTCCTTTTTGGATTTGCATTGAAAAAGTTTCTAATTCATTTTGCAAAATGCCAAACCACAGGCATATATATATTTTTTTCTCGTGTAAATGTCGTTAGCTTTATCGAAATCCAGCCGAAAAATTATTGCTGTAAATCGGCCCGAGGATAAAATAAATGCTTGATAATAAAAAGAGTTAAATGCCATGGATGGATCCAGTTGAAATAAAAAAGAAAATATATAAATCGGTACATAAATAAAACGATTGGCAATTAACACAAAACAACGCGCTTTTGCCTGCAATGCAATAATCCTTTGCGTTGAACGTCGGTAAAACACAATAAAATTGCATAATCGTTCACCATAGCTCATGAGACAATTTGTAAGCGATGGTCGCGCGCGTCGTTCTTTTTTCTCACTCTTTCCTCACATTTGAAATTTAACAGGCCAGACCAGTGCCACTGATTTTTTTTTCGGGTGAAATTTATTTATCTATCTTTATAGTTGATCACATAAATTTCTGATAAAACGACTATAAAAATAAATCCATGAGGCTTGTGCAATGATGCGATGGTTTTGCACCGGCAACGTCCAGCGTGCCAAAATATACATGCATGTGCGTATGCTATGTGTGTGTACGGCTGAGCTCGAATATGCATAATCCGATTCGAATAAATTGGCATTGTTTGCATCACTTGTACTCGACGCACATGTATGGCCGAACGGAGTCACCGCTCAAAAGTGTATCGGAAGGATATTCATGGTTGTTGTTTTTTGTTCGGTTGGTGGTAATGGCTTTCGGCATTTGATTCAAGTGTACAATGATTTGAGCAATCGATGTTTGCTCTGAATTTCTCGCATACTACCCCGTACATTCGACAATAAATCGACTGCAACTTTGAAGGCAATACACATGAACAAGAATGTACGAAGCGAGAAAAAAATTTTTGTTGGCAAAATCGCATTTTTTGACAGAATTCGTATATATAAATAAATTGCGGTTTGCCAATCTGCGAATTACCCTTGCATTTCAAATGAGGTTTTTTTTTTATCAATTCACTCGTTTAATTCAGCTTAAAAGATGACTGAATATGAAAGATTACCGATTTCATTTTTTTGTTTGTCTATTTCTCGGTGCTGGTAAACGATTGTCCGAAATTGAATTAATCGGGCGATAACTTTGGATTAAGTGGAAAATTCGATGCAAACGATTTCGATACCGCATATATATAAGTTTGGCCATGCAACCGATGATAAATGTTAGACATTCATTCAGTTTTATAAATGACTTGTGATCTGAGATGACGAGCTGCTGTGCCTTCATGAAAGAAGAATAAATTATCTTCAGTCGATATATTCGCATGCAATCCCATCACACAAGGTATCTGCAAGCCGTGTGCCGGAGGGGAACAAAATCGTTCCTATATTATTTATTATATTTACGTTATCTGACTCATATTTTTGATGATGTGTTTTTTTTCTATTTGATTTCTTTTCGTCGACCATTTGGAAAAAGAAAATAGATTTTTATTTGGCCATTTTTGGACGGTTTTGTTACAAACAAAAAGAGAGATTACCATCGTGATATGAATACTCGAATACAACAAACCATTTTACCATTCATACACACACTCGCTAAAAACCATTTAGAGAAGACCACCAACCAGTCGCCCGCCCGATGACGATTTTCATTTTTCTTGTTGGCTGGTTTTGTTTTTCATTTACATGAATTATGAATTATTAGATTTCGTTTAACAATTCAAATTGCACAACGAGCAAAACAACGGACCACTGCCAACGCATCGTAAATATCATTTATTATTTCTGTTTTGTGCGTGAATGAAATTCCTTATCGCCTTACCAAAAATGATTTATTTTCATCCAAATTTTACTTTTTATCAAGAACCACAAAAAAAAGACATATATTAAATTATTGTATCCAACGACTTTGTGGTTAAAAAAAATCAACTTGAACAACATCTTCGAAAAGGGGTAAGTAACAAAAAAAGACGAATACCAACCACCAGAAAAGTCCTTGTAATTAAATGTCAATCATCGCATTTGAATGATTCATAAGATATTGCATTAAATGAAAATGTAAATGATTTCAAAAACAACGTTTCCACACGACGGGAAAAAAATTGAATATTCACCGTTTTCGCTTCAATGAACACGACTCATTAACAATTTACTAAACAAACCATTTGGAAAAAAAGCAAGAAAACATGGAAATGTAAAAAAAAGAAGAAGAAAAGTCCTCTTTGCAAACATGGCCGTGACTAAATCACGTATCAATTTTTTTACTATCTCAAAAAATGTTCAAATGATGCAGTAGAAAAGGTCATGGAACTGTATAATAGTGTGATAAATTTTCCACATGCTTCTTTGATGAGGAGAGTTCGGTGTTTGAAAATTACTGTGAAAAAAGTGGCATCAATTTTCAAAGAATGTTTTATTAGAGCCACATGTATTGGCATTAAATCGAACATGACGAAAATGTCGCACTGTTCGCCCAAAAATATCATGTCTCTGTTGTGTTGCACCAACAAAAAATCGCCATAATTCAGTCAGTGTCAGTATAAATCGTTGCCTCTGGAATGAGTTGCGATGAAAAAAATGTTTACGAAGTTTTTTTTAAAAAAGTGTACTGTAGTGCTGTACGCTGTACATTGGATGGAATTTGATATTGACACATCAGTGTTTTTGACAATAAACGGTTTTTGTCGATGTCATTCGCAACGATGGTGCTGATGGTAACGTTGATACAATTATACACAAGTCATATCTAATTAAAGGGAACCATTTAATGAAAAATCAATAGCATATCTGTTTACGGTTCAATGATTTTAGGAAAAAATACAGAATAGGTGATTAAAAGGATTTCATTCAAAACATATTTTCAATCAGTCATCACAGCTTGCAATTTCTCTGTAAATGTCAAAAATATGTTTTTCCCAAACAATCGAGTATTCTTTGAATTACCGAACGCTGACGACATATCTTCTTATTCTGATGTAAAAAAATTTATGCTTTATTAGCAATTATTTGCATTACGCAAACGTTTTCGAGAAACCGTGTGCTCATCTTCAGGCTAACAATGAAACAATAAGATAAATATCGCACAGTTCTCCCAAAAATATCACGTCTCTGATTTATCCAAACAATCGAATATTCTTTGAATATTGATATGAATTTCATTGTCATTTTGAGTCAAAATAAGAAAAGTAGTGTCATATAAAATTCAGTAAAAATGAGTAAAAATGAGAGTTATTCGCGTTTCGATATACTATCACTTAATTTTAATGCGGTTAAAAATTACCTTCGCTTTGAAAACCGCACAAATTTAGTTGTAACAATCGATGGTGTTGACATACCAACATGTGATCCTTCGATTCTTCCGTGGTGTATGATTTTTTCGTCGCCATATAAACCTCCACTCTTACCAAACAAGATTGGAAAATCGCTTTTTAAGCAACATCGAAATGGATTTCACCTGAACGATCCACATATGAAGCAAACACGATTTTTCGTAGATTATCATCGATTGCACGATCCAGCGCTGGAGAGGTATTTCAATTCAGCGCCAGTAAGAAAACGATTGGAAAAACTTGGCTTGGTTACGCAAGAAAACGATGCATTATGTTCAACAAAAGAATTCGTTGAATACATTCATTACCTAGAACGTTTACGTGCAATGGAGATATCCAAGAAAATTGCTAATTTACAATCAAAGCACAATAAACGAGCTGAAAAAATTAAAGAAGAAAAACGAGAGAAATATAAGCAGAACAATCGAAGCAAAGAAGAAAAATTTAATATCAACAAGCAAGGGATACTCGAAAAAGAACGCGGGTAATATGATTGAAATAAACTTAATTTTATAGTTTTTTTGTTTTAGCTTTAGTCTATTTTGTGATTAGGAAAAATATCGAAGCAAAACAAAAATGGGAAACGAAACTAAAACAAGCGGAAGAGCGAAGGAAACAGTTACAAGATGAAAACATTATTAATAAGTACATTGGAAAAATTGAAAAGTTTAAAAAACATTGGATTCTCAGGGATGAGGCTCAAAAGAAGAGCATTGCTCTTTATCAAGCGTACCAAGAAGAACAGCGGAAAAACATACTCGTAAAAACAACTCACTCAATTATATTTTCAAGTTTAAAAAATGTTTGTGTTTTGTCTTCTCTTCTGACCAAAAAATAGAAACACAAACAGCAAGTTGAAAAAATCCGAGAGAGATATATGCAATGAGCAAAAATTTATGAGACTTCGCAGAAGATGTTCGAAAGGAACCAAACAAAGAGATAAATTAAACAAAAGTTGACAAAGAAAGTGCATAGCTATTGCTTTTAAGACATGAGAAAAAAGTTAAAAATTATAGAAAATCATGAAAAAGTACAATTTATTGCCTAAATTAAAATTTAACTCTTTTTTATTTACAATGTTTTTTTTTTCTTCAATTCTTTTTTATATACAATTCAGTTGTTTGTATCTTATACAAGCACCAATATTTTCTTCGGCAAATCCCTTATTCAATCCGTCGCCAAAGTGAATGCCGATTCCAAATGGTGTAACAGTCGATTCGACACGACAAGGCGAAACATTTCCTGGACACAACGAATTACCACAATGAACAGGCGAACACGTTGGCAGCGAACCTGAGCCAACCGATATAAAATCTTCAACGATACACGGTAACGTGATGCGATCGTTACATGTTGAATAAAATTGTCGGGCTTTTCGTTCGTTATGAATTGGAGCCGGTTGGACTGATCGAATTGAACGTCTGAATAAAGCGGCTCTAGTTATAAATGATCCAATTGAAAATAGCGATGTTAAGTCATCTCGATCATCAGGGTTATTATCATCACCGTCATCACCCGATCCTTCAACATCGTCTTGTGGAATTGGCGTTGTTGATGTGGTTGTTGTTGTTGTTGCGTTTGTCATTGACTCCGTTGAATTTCCAACGTCTGGACTGGTACCATTGAGCGAATTTAACATTGATGGATCTTGTGCGGGATCGGCTTGTGTAACCACTCCATCAGCTCCATTAGTAGACACCGTCAAAGGTATTCCACTCATTTGTGCTATAATTAGAAACAAAAATCCATTTTATTGTGTGTTCAAATCAATGTCGCTTTTCATTGTTTTACCTGTTAAGGCGTTTGGGTTAAGCGGTGTAAGTACGCCATTTGGTGAAAGTACAGCCGGTTGCCCGTTGGCATCGTAAACAATTCTATTTGGTGGTAAAATTCCATTAGATCCGTAAGGATTTGGTATCAACATGCCATTGGGTCCAATTATTGGGTTACCATTTAGAGCTGGATTTGGATAATATGGGTTAGTTTGAAACGGATTAATTGGATATGGATTACTCTGATATGGATTACTCTGATATGGAAAGGCACCATTATAACTGGAGTAAGGGGAGGCTAATGGATTTGGATATTCTCTGGGTCGATTCGGGCCGATACGGAACGATTGCTCATTGCATGGCTCATAGGCGATTGAACACATTTTTGATTCTTGACGTATACATGCTTTGTACTTTTGATTTGACAGATGCCGCCCATTTTCCGCAAAATTAAATGTCTTAAGTAGAAAAAAAAAATATTACAAAAAAATAAAAAAAGACGAAATAAGTAAATAAATACCAAACAAACAGAAAAATAGTTAAAACAAACATATAATATTTGTAAACAAAGCGAAAATATTTGCTTTCAGCTTTGAATTTTAATTTAATACCTGTATAATTCCGTCAGCACCGAAGAAATATTGCAAACAACCGGCGGGAGCTCTTTGACTGAATGGAATTTGTGATACGCGAACTTCCCAAAATCTGGCCGTTGCAAACGAACTCGTAAAATTCATAACGAGATCAATATCTGCCGGCGTTTTTCCATCACGTGCCTTTCGATTTGGAACATCATAATAAACTATTTGCAATAAAAATCAAATCAAATTATAAAATGCAACAAGGGGAACAACATTTTCGCATAATCTTTTGTTCTCGGAAAAGAAAAGATGAAGTCAACAAAAAAAGAAGAATGGTCAACGCACTGTGTTGTCCGTTATTATATCCGCAGAGTTTGAACATGCCGGAACTTCCGCCAAATAGTGAAAAAATATCTCCGTCACAATTTCCGGTTTGTCGATTCGGTTGACCCTAAAATGTTTACACGAATAGATTTATTGATTGTTTGTTTCCGCACATTTGAGATTCAAAGGGCAAATATTTACTATGGAAAAATGATGAAAATCGAATCTCAACTGGCTTATATCACTGGACATCATTTTTATTTTGAGTTTGCATGTTTTTATGTTGGTTGACATGAGCGCCGGAAAGTTAGGCGATATGAAGTATGTGATGTTGTTCTTAATTTCTTGATCACACGTTGCCGTAACTGTGACAAATGAAAGCAAACCATCAATCATTAATCATCATCAAATGCACTTTCTTTATATAGAAAACTTACAAACACAACAAGCACCGAAACCGAGTGCACACTGTCCTTTTGCTGTGCCGCCTTTTTGATGGCAATCATACTTATTCATACACACACCGGATCGTAAGCCATCCTCTGATTTGCATTCATCTTCACTTGGCTGCGCAAAGAAGCTCAACACTGCAATAATAAATCGTACACAATCATTTCGAAAGTAAAGAAGAGCAGGTCATTTAAATCTCATCACATTCTGAATGAAATCACATCGCAACGATTAACAATTCTTATTTTTTTTTCTTTCGTTTTTCTGCTTAATCAGCACCGATGAATACATATTATAACCAACATAACATATAGAATTAACACAGTTTCTTGTTTGTTCCATACCTTTCTCATTTCGAAAACTGGTTTTGTGGCGGTAGTCTTGTATCTCAAGATCATTTGAAGCAGTCATTGTACTGCCACTGCCGCTATGTTGAATCGCTTTATTCTGAGGCGAACCCCAAATGTCGTACGTCTTCATACTTGGCCAAGAACTACCTTTTGATGCACCATGCACATCACATACTTGTTTACTTAGAAATAACGCGACAACAATGACACAATAAATATGACTATAAATTCTAACTTTGGCACAATAACCCATTTTCATTTTCAATGTTATGCTACTGTTCACTTGATGTGATTTTCGTTTTCAATATTCACAATGTTGTTTTAATGAACAAACTCTCGGTTTTTCGCTTCTTTCTATTATTTCTGGTTTCGTGAATGTTCGCACGCATTTCATTCATTAAATTATTTACTATTGATACAATTCGATTGATTCGTTAGACTTTTTTTTTGATGTGCGCTATGCGGGTAACAGCAATAATAAAAATAATAACACAATGCACATTATTGTTGTTTGAATACACAACGAATTTCACACAGTAGATCCAATTTAAATAGTACACAAACAAAAAATCATAAAAATTGAATTTATGATTTTTATTTCAATAATTTAACTTTCCACATTTTGTTGGCTCTCGAATTTATCGCATTTAAAATGTGAAAAAACAAATTTGAACAAGAACGTTGATTTCGAATTGCCCGTCACTGAAATCACATCTGATTATTTACACGCATGCTAAAACACTAATCGATGAAAATTCATTCAGCTCGTTGGACAGTGGCTCAATTTCTCGTTGCCTAAATCGAACAAAATGTGAAGAAGAACAGTGTGTTGTGAATGAGATGGCACGAGGAAAGATGCGAAATCCATGCGGTCGTCGAGATTATCTCTCTATCAATATAAAAACATACGTGCTCAGAGCAACTCATATGGAGAAAGATTGAGATAGAGAGAGAGTGAGAGGGAGAGAGCCATCAGAAGATGATATGCGAATGCGATTGTGTGTCAATTATTCCCTCTCCTCAGCATACCATTTCTTTTTCTCTTTTATTTACTTTTACTAAATCATTGTCCACAAAGTTAAAAGCATAAGCACAAAGTCAAGACTGATGCCGTCTTTATCGTTGTCGTCTTCGTTGTTTTCGTCATCATCGTGGATGGGACGTTACTTTTTCTGTATCTTCTAAACCGATCAGCATGCTAATAATCATAAAATTTTGTGCGCACAAAGAGACTTTATGCTTCCAAATAATAGCTCATTAATTAGGCATCGTTTTAAGAAAAACCGCGATGCTACTCTTTGAATGGACAATTACCGTTTTTTTGTTTTGTTTTAAACGATAGAAAGAAAATGCACGATTTGTTGTTGGAAGGCGATAAAATTTCTCGTTTATCTCCCATTTACGTCTAAGATTTAAAACACTTTCTTTATCGTCACAAGTTCAATACCGTAACGGCATGATTGAAAAAAAAAATGCCAAGACGAGCGACATATACAACGCCATTGTCAATAGAATCGATAATGTTCAATATGCTTTTTGTTAAGTAAGCCATATGCAAATGATCATCGGTTGGTCATTCAATTTGCTATTAACAAGCCACACTCATACACAGCTGCAATACGAAAACTGGATAAGAAGAAAAGAAGACATAGGAATAAACATAAGTGCAATAGTAGCCGACCACATGATTTCGAGCCGTTCGGGTTATGTTTTGTTTGTGATGCTAAGAAAGTTGTAGCCGGTCGCTTGACAATATTTGGGTCAGTTTATATGCGTGCGTTTCGCTCACACGCACACACGACGGTGCGACATTCTGAAGAGTAGGTCATTCAGCTGAGAGGAATGCTCATATAAAAATGATGCTTTTGTCGCCAAACGATTACACGGTTCATGCGGCAGTAAATAAATTGCCTAGAAGTCTGTTTGTTAGGCAAGAAAGCAGTTCGTTTTTCTTTCATCAAACGTTTATCGTCATTGTGGCAAGTGAAACAGCAAATTGATACTAACAACGTCGACCAGTTAACAATGGTTACATTAACATTTAACATATTTCATTCAATTAGCGCATTGCTTTTATGATCCAGTGATGTTATGGCGTGTTTTTATGGAAAGTACTAATAAGCAATGATTTATTTCGTTTCAAATTCTATTGACTTCAATTTATTGGTATTTTTTTGCGTCATTCAAACTCTGTTTTTTTTTAGCGGGATTTCACTTTTTTGAAACGAAATGGAAAATTCTAACTATAAGATAAGATTTCGTGAAATGGAGCAATTTCTCAATGTAACAACTGTCCACTTATGATGTTTTATATCTAATTAAGTCAAACGCTTGCTATTGAACCGTTACTCAAGATTTATCGTGTTTGTCATTTTGTTTTTGGCCCGAAGCGATCGACTGCTACAGAAATGTAAATAGAGAAAATGCTCAAACATTTATTTAGCCCCACGGTCAAAGCCAAAGACGCAGACAAAGCAAAACAAATTACCATTACCACTAGACTCGTTCGGTTGTACAATTGTCGGCATTGCCAGACTTTTTCTCAGCTCCCCTCCATTCACGTTCAATTAAGTCGTAATCTGTTTTTTTTCTGATTATTTGATTAACGACGAAATTGCCTAAATCAAATGCTCAAGCAAACGCAAAGGTTTTTTT